TGTGTGTGTGTATATATATATATATATATATATATATATATATATATATATATATGATTTTTTTAAGTAGGCTTCATGGGCAGCATGGAACCCAACATGGGGCTTGAACTCACAACCCTGAGATGAAGACCTGAGCTGAGATCAAGAATCAGACGCTTAACTGACTAAGTGCCTCTAAGATATCAAACTTTTATTGAAGTGTTTACCTTTGAGGGAGATGACTGCTTATGGAAAGAGGGAAATTTAAGTTTTTGAGAATCATTTTTTTTAAATTGGAAGCATTATGGGAGATGGTTGATTTATTTTGTGTTTTAATATTTTCCACATTTAAAAATTTACGTATCTATGCGTACAGAGGTGTTTGTGTGTATGTGTGTATGTGACAATGTTGAACAGGTTGTTCACTCTTCTCATGAAGGGTCTCCCAGCAAAGTCCGAGGAGTGGGGGGCACTCTGCCGGCAGGTGGAGCAGGACTGTGGTTACCAGACTGCTACACGGGACTCCCTCTCACCTGTACAGTTCCCCAGCCTGTGGCCCCAGCTTTAGCAACAACCTTAAGGCTTAAGTTCCCTCATCTTCCTCCTCCTTGTCTTGATTTGCTCTTCTGTTGTCTCTTCTGTTTCGACATTAACTGAACATTTACTGTCCTAAGAGGCTGGAAAGGGTATGGTGAAGAGTCCATGCGCTTGGAGATTGAATTCAGTGGCACAGCTTCATGGCCATTGAGTTAGGTCAAGTTTCATAAGCTCCCTGTGCCTCACTGGGGGAATCACAATAGTGTCTACTTAACGAGGCTGCTTTGAGGATTCAATGGGTTTACACACAGAAACAGCTCAGAATGGTGCTGGGCACAGCAAGTGCCCAGTGGAGGTTAACTGTTAATACAGTCGTGCTAGGTGCTGGGTCCCAGGGTCTCTGCCCGTACGGAGTTTATGGTATGCTATTTCTGCCTCAATAACCCCTCATAGACTAGCCAATCCTAGATTCAGCTAGCAGAACTTTCTTGGTTTTTGTTAAGCGGATTGGTAAGTAGGACATGGTGGAATGAGGGAGGGTTACTGACATTTTCCACTTGTATCAACCATCTCTTTGGAAAAATAGTGCACTAATCTTACTATCTATTATTATATTCAGTTACTGAAAAACATGCCAAGGATGTACAATGGCAGCAGATTACTGGGACACAGGAAGCTATGTGGTGGACTGTTCCACCATTTGATTCTATATGACAACACGGAAAAGATGTGTTTTACTCTTGCTTTAAGATATACCCCGAAACTTACATTTGCAGAGGATTAGTGAATTTTCTCCCTTATTCCCAGAGAGAAGTGTGCCTGACATACGGTATCGTGTAACAATACCAGTCGTTAGAGTAAGCCAGAGGAAGTTATAGTAAGAAAATATTTTCTGCAAATATTAGATGGTGTTCTCTTTAGCAGAAAGTGATTCAATGCATGATGGTGACATACTCATGGTTTTATACAAAGTCAAATTTACATAGTATATTTTTTACATATATATATTTTTATTTGGGTATTTACTTTGGTAGTCTTTAAACAATTTGGGGGTAATCTCTTTTATGTTCAGTTTCACTGAAATGATTCTCATCTCCCTCAGTACCTATAATTATTCTTTCCTTCAGTTTCAGAAGTTTTGGGCTTTTCTTCTTACAATGCTTTCACAACACATTTTTCTCAGGTTTACTCACATTTCCCCATCTCTGGTCCAGAGGAAACGTGCCAGATGACATCTCTAACTCACAGTGAAAGGAAGCCCATTCCTCTGAATTAGGTGGGCAGATCGACATACTTGATCCACCCAAAGGGAAAATCCTCGCAATGAATAATTGCTAATGCTATAAAAGGCAGACCACAGTGAGAGGCTCGAAGGCCACAAAGAGCTTCAGAGTAAGAATAATAATAAAAATAATGATCAAAACAACTGCCAGTACACACAGAGCTCTTACCACGTGTATACACTTGACCCTTTTATTTATTTATTTATTTAAAAAAAATTTTTTTTTTCAACGTTTTTATTTATTTTTGGGACAGAGAGAGACAGAGCATGAACGGGGGAGGGGCAGAGAGAGAGGGAGACACAGAATCGGAAACAGGCTCCAGGCTCCGAGCCATCAGCCCAGAGCCTGACGCGGGGCTCGAACTCACGGACCGCGAGATCGTGACCTGGCTGAAGTCGGACGCTTAACTGACTGCGCCACCCAGGCGCCCCACACTTGACCCTTTTAAACAACTATCGTCCCCAGTCTACAGAAACAGAATCTGAAGCACGATGAGGTTAAGAAACTTGTCCAAAACCACAGTGGAGTAGAGCCAGAGTTGGGATTCAGTCCCAGGCTGTGTGGCTCCAGAATCCATGCTCTTAACTGCCATGCTCTGCTAAGCTGGAAAGACAGGACATCCACACAAGCTAGTGACCAGAGAGGACACACAAACGAAGATAAGAGAAACAGCTGGGAACATCTGGGGTCAGAAACAAGACGACGATGATTCAGGTCAAAGAATGTGAACAGAACACTTCTGCACATGGAACTGGTCCTGTTTGGAATATCTTCACTCAAATGCTTTCATCTGTTACTTTAGAGAATGGATGCTGAGGACCTTGGTGTTTGGGGAAAGTGGGGATGTTCCCTGAGCTGGCTGTACTGCAACCCCATAGGGTTAGAACTTATTTGAAATCCCAAAAGTATTCAGTTTAACCAGTACAAGTCTTGGGCCTTGCCAGGCTTTTCCAGGTATGACTTCCCCTCTTCCACGAGGCTCGTAATCACAACCAAGGAGTGTGAAGACAGGGACTCTGATTTGCCCTGGGTGGGAATGTGAAATGGCACTGCCACTCAGGAAGGCGGTTTGGTGGGGTCTTCTGGAACTATGCACGGGCACCATGTGAACCAGCAATCACACTCAGTGGTATTTATCTGAAGGAGTTGAAAACACGTCCATGTAAAATCCTGCACATGACTTTACAGAACCAACTAAAACTTGGAAGCAACAGAGATGGCTTTCGGCAGATGAGTAGGTAAAAATAAACTGTGATCTGACCAGATAATGGAACACCACTCTCTGAGCAGCACTAGGTGGAAATGAGCTGCTAAGCCAGGAAAAGCCAAGGGAGAAACTTGAATGCGCACTGGTAAATGAAAGAAGGCAATCTGGAAAGGCCACATACTGAAGGATTGCGACAGTAGGACATTCTGAGAAAGGCAAAGCTATGGAGACAGTAAAAGGACACTGCCAGGGATTGAGGGTGGAAGGGTGAATGGGTAGAGCACAGAGGACTTTTAAGGCAGTGAAAATACTATGATATTATAATGGTGGATACGTGTCATTGTGCATTTGTGCACACCCAGAACGCATAACACCAAGAGTGAACTCTAACGTACACTACAGACTCTGGGTGATGATGGTGATGTGTCAGTTCAGGTTCACGGAGTAGAACAAAGGCTTCACTGTAGTCATAGTGGGGGAGG